GAGGATTGTTTGGTCGTTGGTAACAGACTGAAATATCTGTGATCTATATAATATATATATATGTGTGACGCTTTGAGTGTGAGTGTGCATTTGTTTGTGTGTTTGAATAGTTGTCCTGATTGATTGTTGCCTAAGTCCTTGTTCTATTCTGTTTTTGCTTGTCTTTTTCTAGTGTAAATTTATCATATTCTAAAGCAATATATATAATATTTGAATGATTTGCAGTTTGCAAGTTTATATACATGTATTTTGTTGAGTTTTTAGTTGATTTGTTCACTCTGTGACCACATGAAAATGTTAGTTATTATTTTTCCAAAGATTGTGATTTGTTTACCTTTATTTATGACTTATTTAATTTTACCAAAGTATTGGGCTGTTTCGGACGTCATTCCAGGTGGTTGCTTAAGGCTGTGGTGAGCGTTTACCCTGTTTGTTCAAAGTTTGCTGGGAATATGTTTTCTGTACAGTTTATTTATTGGTAGGAACCATGGTTAGGGCTGTGTCGATGTTGATGGGGAGAGCTCTCGATATTGGCAGCAGGTGGCTGGAGGGAACTTTGGTTGGTTGTGTTTCTTTTTTACTCTCTTTCTGTTGTGTCTGTGTGTCAGTCTTTCTTTTTCCGAGCACTAAATTGTCAGTATTGTGGAGATGCACTTCTCTTCTCTCAAACTCGATATTGGCGTTATGGGATGAGTACACTTCAACCTTTTTGCTTACTTTACTTTTCCGATCCAGCGGCAATCTGGGTTCTAGCCCTTGATATGAGATGTTTTACTTTCCCTGGTTTTTTGGAGGTGTGGAAACTTGTACAATTCCATGACACTCCAGGTTCGTCAGTATGGTATTGAAAAGGTTAATATAAAAGTTGCTTCTGTTTTTCAGCTACTGAAGCTTGCTGAAAGGTAGGGGGAGCTGAGAAAAATTTTGTAGACAAGATTTAGCCCTCTGGTAGGCTATTTATGGTTATTTTGTAATGAATGGTAAAAATGATTTGATACGCTTTTTCGTTCTTGACTTCGAATTAAACTAGTGTATATTGAAACAGCCAGTCAACATCTTAAACAGGCCAACTGTTGTTACCCTCCACCCTTACTTCTTTTAACCTGTATTATGTAAAAAATTAAAAACACAGTATTCGCAATTAATATCCAGTATCAGAATATCGACATTTTTCACAGCCCTACGCATGGTATCTGTAAAATGTGTGTTTGAGTTGCAGGGGTGGGGACAGGTTAAGGTTTACCAGCAAAGGGATTATTTTTTGTGGATGAATCCAAGCTTTATTTCTTAACCAAACCAGTTTTGATGAGTTTTGATGCACATGTGAATGTCATTTGTATGTAAAATTTCTCCAAATATAAAAGTTGTATTTTTATAAGAAATACAGAATAGGTACTTGTGTGTGTATATATTTTTAATGTGTGTGTGTGTGTGTGTGTGTGTGCTTTCCTGTGTGTCAGAGTGACCACACAATACTCTGTGTGTGTGTGTGTGTGTGTGTGTGTGTGCGTGTGTGTGCTTTCATGTGTGTCAGAGTGACCACACAATACTCTGTGTGTGTGTGTGTGTGTGTGTGTGTGTGTGTGTGTGTGTGTGTGTGTGTGTGTGTGTGTGTGTGTGTGTGTGTGTGTGTGTGTGTGTGCGCGTGCATGTTTGTGTGTTAATACGGATACATTGTAAAATATATTCAGTGCTAATGTGTAAAGTATTTAAGGCCCTCAAAATCAGATGGTGTTTTATTTTGCTGAAAATGTGCAGGTACTTTCTAATGTGTGAACAAATAGAGGAGTTGGAAAATTTAGTCTGCTAAAGAAGAAGAGTAAAGCTTTGGAATTCAGCTATTTGTCCGTAAATTATATGTGTTGCGAAGCAGTGGAATCTGGCACTCGTCGGGTTTTGGGTATGTGGTATCATCTGAAAGCTTGTAGCTTGTTCCTTAGCCTTACCTTTCATGAAAAGAATACCCATGTATCATGAATAGAAGTTGAGATATTTGCGATTAAAGGAGGTGGGGTTGCGTGGTTTCAGAGGTAAAATTAGCTTTAAAAAATGGCGTCCAAAGTTTAGTAACTTCAATATTGTGAGAGTCCTTGAAAACTGAAAATTTACATGTTTTTTTGCCTTTTATCAATGTTTTTCAGTAAAATTCACATGAAAATGTGATTTGATAGGGATGTAAAAGGTGTTGAGCCACAAAACAAAAATTGGATAAAAATTGCTAAACTGGTGTAAAAATGCTCTTTTCGTTGATCTCATTATTTTGACGAGCACCTGATTTCACCATGATGCCTCACATACAGTTATTGGTGAATGTGAATGCTACATTTCCATGGCTGTATGCAAGACTGACCAATGCCATTATTACCAATTGGATTTATCAAAGTCTAGCATCCTGCCATCAGTTTGTACCCCTATTAATAAGAAATTGTCATTATTTGCAAAATGACTGTATAATATATTGTAAATACACAGAAAATTGTTATGTGCTAAAAGTGTGGATATACAGAACTGTTACTGTGTTTACTATGATATGTTTGTAGATCAGAATGTTGGAAAAGGGGGAGGGGGGGTAGGGGGCACACTTCTAGGTCTTATTTTTTGTGTCCACAAATTATTTTTTTTGGGTCTTTTTTAAAATAACTTTTCCTCCCGAATGTGATAATATTTTTGTGTTTAAACTTCTCATGCTTACACAAACTAACAAAAATGACACTTAGTGGGATGTGATTATGATTAGCTAGAATATACTCCCCTTTTCTCACATTGATCTTGCCTGGAAAGAATTCCTCCTTGATCAATCGCACACAGAAGATAAGAGTTCAGTTTTTCCATGTGGGAAGGATTTTCCAAAATTGAGTATCTCTGTCTACTAGGACATTGTGTCCCTCTCAGCCTGGGTTCGCCTTGACAGGTAGCTCGCCAATAAATAATCTTAATAGTGTTGATGGGGTCGTGAAACTCTTAGTCTTTACGCCTCATCAGTTGACAGAATCATTGTCTGTTGTTGCTGTATCTGTTGTCTAAATTTAACACTCTCTCAGCCCAGTAGGTTCGAGTCAAGAGGTTAGGGAGGGGACCCTGGAGGACTCCCCAAACAACCCAAATTCAAGAATGTTTAGTTGTAGATTTATACCTGAGTCAGTGGGTGGTTGGTGGGTGCTCTGGTGTGGTTTGCTCCTTCTTTCCTATCAAACATTTATTGTCATTATCTCTCCTTTTTTCTGTTCGTTATTCTTTTGTAACACCTTTAATGTTCGGCACTTATAATGACCTTATTGTGTTGCAAGTGCCGTAAAACTCTTACTGAAACTAAAACTAAAACTAAACCTGAGTCATCTGCCTTGTAGATATCATGATAACTTCTGGGCAGATGACATAGGCCTACCTTATGGTTGATTTATAGTGATATAAACCTTAATTGTGACACATAGGGATGTGGTATAGAGATAAATAGCCGTGCATATTTTTTTTTCTGATGTAACATGGATTAGTGATTGTGTGTGTGTGTGTGTGTGTGTGTGTGTGTGTGTGTGTGTGTGCATGTGTATGTATGTGTGTGTGTGTGTGTGTGCGTGCGTGCGTTTATGTGTGTATGAGCTAGCATTTCCTCGAATGTTGATGAGGTGTTGAATCCATTTACTAAAATGTGCAATGTCTATTTAAATAGAGGAGAGTTGGGGTGTGTACAGAATTTGGCGAACTGAAAACACATTGGAGTACCTATTTACATAGATTTTTAAGATTGATATTCTGAAATGAACAATCTTGTAATAAACTGCAAAAACAAATGTCAACGACTAGAACCACCCATTTCTTGCTTATTATTTTGTTGAGTTAATGTTAGTATAGTAGACTCGTGTCTGTTGTGTAGCCGTCGGGCATCTGAAAGTCACAAGCAGAAGACCTGAATTCAATTCCTGTTTGGGGAGAATTTTTATTGAATGTCTCAGTCTTTCTGCTTGTACATTGTATTCTTTTCAGCCTGGGTTGTCTCTACCCCCCCAAGGGCAGTGCTACTGACTGAATTGTGTTTAGGCCATTCCCAAAGGGGGGAATATTAACATGTTCTTATGCACAATAGTATTTTAAATGGGCTGATTTATCAATGTCATGCTCATACTGTGCCAGAACAACATAAGGAGAACTGCTGATTTTTCTTTCCCATCCTTACTATTGTCATTTTTCCTCTACTTCTTTTGTATGTTTGTCACTCTCTTGTGAACTACTTCCGGGGTGCCTTGATAATCGAAGCAGACATTGTGCAGTTGAGGCGAGAGAGGTGAGAAAAGAAAGCCTGATTCCTGGTTTGGACTTCTCTGTTGACATCCACCCCTTAGCGCTCATTTGACCTTATGCAGTTGCGAGCACTATAAAACCTTACTTAACAAAGAAAATAACCCAGGTTGCCCTGACGGGTTGAAACACGCCTTGTAAATGATCTTGTGTCGACGACACTTAGCGTAAAAAAAACAACAACTATATATCTAGTATCGTGGAGGCCGTCTGACTTCAGCTAACAGATGAAAGACTTCTTTTCTGCTCGGATCTCTCCAACTATTGTCTGTACCGTTCCTGCCGTAATGAGTATAAATTGTTTCAAATATTTACGGTCACTTTGCTGTAATATTTAAAATACATTTTTTTTTCAAACTCAGTAGTAGGTAGGCAGTCTGGTGCTGTCTCTTGTTTTAGAAATGTTTTAAGCCCTTCTCGACACAATGTAGAGATAACTCTGGGTGACTGGCCGCTTTCCACCCTGCACACACACACACACACACACACACACACACACACACACACACACACACACACATGCGGCGCGCGCGCACAGAGAGAGAGAGAGAGAGAGAGAGAGAGAGAGAGAGAGAGAGAGAGAGAGAGAGAGAGAGAGAGAGAGAGAGAACACACCGAATACATAAACAGCACTAGTGTGTGCTCTCGAAACAATACGCAGAACACACACACAACTAACTAACAAATCAGCACTGAAAGTGAAACAATGACGGACATACAAGTTTATTAATCACAGAAGGGAAATTTAGCTTACAAAGGCAAATGAGAACACACACACAAAGCATACCGTATACGGGCCATACAAAACTGTCATAGACATAGAGCTGTTTTGTCTAAAGTTAGGATTAACGTGTCTTGCTCAAGAGCACTGTCCTGCCACCACCTACCTAAATGCTGTGTAAGAAACACTGTGTGACGTCAATATTCGTTAGCATGAACTCACTTCCCTGAAGCCCCAACTCAATTAAAGGGGCAACTGTTTGATCTAAAAATGATAAGCGTACACAATATTGCTACGTAAAGTTAAGTTTTTCCCTCATCCGGAAGGATTGCCTTGTTAGTGAGACAACTTCCTGGGCCTTCGGCATATTGTGGTAGGGTGGCTAGCTCCTTTCCACGCCGCCTTTACTTCCCCAACTCGAAATCAGGTGCGAATTACTGCTGGGTGGGCAGGAGGGGGCGAAAAAAATCCTTGTCCGAACCGAGGCTCGAACCCGGACTTTCCGCTTCGGAGACGAGCGCACTAACCGCTCCGCCACCGCACCCTCTGCTATTATAACACTGAAAACGAAAATGTCAAAACTTTTCGTACGGGAGAAATTGAATGATTTAAACAACACGAAAGTATGACAACACTATGAAAATCTTGAACGCTCACAAAGATTAGATCTGACCTATAAAAAGTGAGTGAACCGGTTTGATACCCTTAATGCATGAATAGCCAACTGTGTACAGTAACTGTAAGCAGAGACGCAAATCGAGTTAAAATACGTGCACTATACTTTCAAACATTCAGGACAATGTTAAAAGGACACTGTATAAAGGTGGGATTGAGGGGGG